CACACACACACACACACACACACACACACACACACCAAGTTAGAGAAGGGTAAAATATGCCTTTCCTTTTTTTTTATAGCGTCTGAAATCCTCTTCCACATGTATATTCAAACTGCTTAAATTCTTGTGTAATTCCCAATTACTGAACAGTAATTATATAATATGTATCAAAGGCATAAACCTTCCACTTTGGCCACAGAGACTGATGTACACATAAGTGGAAAGACATGGAGTAATATCAAGAGGCTAATTCAGGATTGAGAAAGGTAGAAAGCGTTTGCACCCTGATGCAGGAAAATAAGGGCATGGATAATGATGATGATCATTACGATGGTGCTGTTGTTGTTCTTATTGTTGTTGATGATGATGATGATGATGATGATGATGATGATGATGATGATGATGATGATGATGATGCTGATGATGATGATGATGATGATGATGATGATGATGTTGGCGGTGTTGTTGCTGTTGCTGTTGATAATGATGACAATGAAGATGAAGATGATGATTATGTTGATGATGATAATAATAATAATGATGATGATGATGATGATGATGATGATGATGATGATGATGATGATGATGATGATGACGATGACGATTACGACGACAACGACGACGACCACGATGATAATGATGACGACAACATGATCTCCACACAGCACCCACCTAGCCCAGGTTGCCGCTTGACCTTGAGCTCTATGTCTCCCGCCCCCACTGCCCTCGCCACAATGTCCCCGACCTGGGATGTGCTCATGCCGGTCACGTCTTGGTTGTTCACGGACACCACCTCGTCCTGGGCCCTCAGGTCGCACACGTCAGCCGCGCTGCCTGGAGACACACACACAAACACATACATATAAACACACACATACATACATAAAAACGCATAGTTTTTTTGTTTTTTTTGTTTGAGTAAAGAGAAGCAAATCGACACAATAATGGCCATTTAGGTCTGGAAAAAAAGGTAAGACTGACAGAAATAACAGGGGGAAAGTAAAGACTGGCGCCCTTTAACCACCTGCAAACGCAACACTGATAGGTAATATTATAAAATCGGGAAACAAACATAATAGACATCTGTAGAAGTGTTACTATAGAGAGTTACATAATAATATAAAGACGGAGGAGAGATAAGGACAATAGATGTTAGATAGGAAAGAGGAGATGGAGAGATAAGGACAATAGATATTTGACAGGAAAGAAGAGGGAGGAGAGATAAGGACAATAGAATCAGGTGTTTGACGGGAAAAAAGGAGTAGAAAGGAGAGATTGTAAGAACAATAGACGTTTGATAGGAAAGAAGAAGACGGAGAAATGAGGATAATAGATGTTTAATAGGAAAGAAGGATCAAATCCAGGCTGATGGGAACACAACTACGCAGATATTCGAAAAATAAAATTGTATTATTTCAGCACTCAGGAATCGGACTCACGTCTATCTTCTGAATACAACAGACAAGAGCCTAATTGCTACACTATAGAGGCCGGTACAAATATAAAAAGTCCGAGTAAAGAGAAGCACATCAACACACTAACGGTCATTTCGAACTAGGACCAAAGCCTGATAATACCAGTTGTTGCCGACAGCACCACCAGCAGCAATAAATTACAGCAGCATCAACACGGCAAGCAATACGTTTTTATTTTAAACTGATTTTTACAGAACATCGATTTTCGAACGAAATAAATTGCTGAAATAAAAGATCCATCCACTTAATAAATGGTAAAATAAAGGAAAGAAAACAATAAAACACTATAAAAATCCGGAAACCACAGTAAACCAACACCCGCGTCACCATCAATCACAAATAACAGAAATCTACGTACAAAACAAACGAAATGTCACTCGAATAAAAACTTGAGAAAGAGAACAATACCACATAGGGAACACAATAAATAAATGATTTTAAAAAAGTGAAGTGTGAAATAGTAGGCTATATGTTTAATGCCCCTATCAACGATTTAAAAAAAGCGCTGGAAGAAAGAATGACGGAAAAAAAAATCACCACTCATAAACCTGTCTGAATGAAGGGTTTGTAATAGCCAAGATGGCTGGAGATGACAAGCTTCCAGTCAGTCACCCACGAGGTTACACACAACCAAAATATTTCAACCACCATTTCTTTCCTACAGAGTGTCCTACATTTCCATAACATTTTAACTTGAGGAATCTTGTGTGGTGTATAAGTGCAGCCTCAGACTCGTAGCCTGAGGGAATTTTTCAAAAGTAGGCTATTTATGGTTTATACACCTGTATCGACATAATAAGATAATTTAAGAGGCAGGTTTTCGAACCTGCCTGTCAGGGCCAAAACGTGCTGAGAGGGATGCATCCCATGAGAAAGGCCGAGATACTCCATAACAACTTTCCACTCAGGAATCGAACTCGGGTCTCTTGCGTGCAAACAAAATGAGTTACTTCTCGCAATCTACAATGTACGTATTGGCAAAAAATCGACACTAGGGTCAAATTTGTTGATTTTCTATTGATGCCATATTCTTCAAGTGTGAAATATGCATTTTATTCTGTCATAATTATACATTGTAAAAACGTCACCTATAAGCGTGATATATCCAACTGAAGGAACATTCAATGTGGTGGCCCACTTCCTTGGCTACTTATACTCTGTGAATCAATAAAGGCCTACTTCATTAAAAATTTTAAACTAAAATAAAATCGTCTTCAAATCATGGTAGAACGACTATTCCTATGTTGCCCTAAAGAGAGTGGATACCCCAAACCATCCACCCCTCCCCCCTCTCTCTCTTTCGCTCTCTCTCTCTCTCTCTCTCTCTCTCTCTCTACGGTCTACCCCCTCTCCCCCCCTCTCTCCTTTTTTAGTTGCATAGTTCCTGGACTCCCGACAGCGCCGAGAGGACACGCCGGAGTTCACACCAAGTGCACAGTTTTTTGACCATGTTTATCAATCAATCGGGCATTCCCGCGCAGCATAGCTGTCACACTGGCGCTACAAAATTTCGTCTTCCACTAGGGGCGCTAGGATGTCCACTGGTCATTTTATGAGGTTGGCGTATAGTCAGGTAACGGTCTGTGTTACACGACTTGCCTGGCCTGGTGGCTGACCGGACGTTTGCTTCTGACATAGGGCGTGGTGGTGTTGGGTGGCGGTTTGGACACACAAACAAACACTAGACAGACAGACAGACAGACAGACAGACAGACAGACAGACAGACAGACAGACAGACAGACAGACAAATACACACACACACAGGCACAGATGGACTGATGGACTGACACAACACACAGTTCAAGAGAGGAAGGTACTAACGTCTAAGTAGAGCAGGGAAGTGAAAGTTGGAAAAAAAAAGGGGGGGGGGTGCAAGAAGAAGGAACGGGTTGCAGTTTAGTGGGTTCACAGATTAATAAACAATGAAGTTGAGAGAGACTGGTCAGCATAATATATAGGAACAACATGTATATAGATAGATTTTGTTTATAGTAGAAGGTTTTACTGCGCTCGCAACTGCTTAAGGTCATATGAGCGCCAAGGGGTGGGTGTCAACAGAGAATTCTTTACAGGGAATCAGATTTACTCTGCTCACCTCTCTAGCTTCAGCAGCACAGAGTCTGCTTCGACTATCAAGGCACCCCGGAAATAGCAGGTCACAAGAGTGCGACAAACATACAAAAGAAGTAGAGGAATATGACAATAGTAAAGATTAGGAAAGAAAAAGCAGCAGTTCCCTTTTGTAGATCAGGCACAGTTATGAGCGTGACATGATGAATTAGCCCATTTACAATTCTACTGTGCATGAACGAGAAATGTCCCCCCTTTGGGAATGGCCTATAGACACTACAGTCAGTGGCACTGCCTCGGGAGGTAGAGATAGATAGATAGACAGACAGACAGACAGACAGACAGACAGACAGACAGACAGACAGACAGACAGA